CTTTGGGGGCCCCCGGCCATCTCCAGGATCGTGTGCCACGAAGTGCACCCCCTCCGAATCCAGCATCACCCAGGTGCCTCCATGATTTCGCCGTCGACCTCGACAGACCATATAGCGATCCCAAGCGCTGAGGTTCAGTCCCAGGTTGGCTCGTCGTCTCTCTTCTGCCTCGGCGTCATATGCCCCTCGACACCATAGTTCAGAATCGGGTACTCGAAGCTCATCCGAGGGTTCTCGATGATCATGAGATAGTTCCCCTTGTTGTGCCGTCTCTGTCTGAGTGCCTCGATGCCATAGTCCCGAAGCCGGTTCTCGATGGTGTCCTTCTGGTTCAGGCCGGTCTGGAAGGTGAGCATCCCCTTCGTCGCGCACCGGTGTCTGCCCAGCGGATGCCGTCGGAGTCTGCCAGGGACTGGTGTTCATCCTCAACGCTCTCACCGAAATGCGATCCACCGGATGAGAGGTCCCAAGTTCTTGGCGTTGATAGGTCGGGTCATCAGGTTCTGCCCACGGGTACAGATCTTCATGAGCTGAGTACCCAAATCCCCGGGAACCCCTGGCAGTCGAGGACAGCTCTTCCACACAGTTCACCTTCACCTCCAAGATCTTCTCAACCACCAGCTGTGCCACTCGGTCGCCCTTGTAAATCCTGAGGTCCACATCAGAGTGATTCCGTAGGAGCACCTTGACCTCTCCCCGGAAGTCTCGGTCAATCACGCCAGCTCCAGTCTCAATTCCCCGGATCGCCAGCGATGATCTTGGTGCCACTCTTCCATAGCTTCCTCTCGGAAGTTCCAGTGCGATGCCCGTCTTGATCAGCACGCTGTCTCCCGGCTGAACCATCGTCTCTATAGTGGAGTGCAGGTCCAGTCCTGCCGCCTGCTCGGAGCCTCGAGAGGGTAGGATGGCTTCTGGATGAAGGAGCTTCACCTTCAACTCCTCTTTGGGTTTGAACCACCGCTGGACTCCCGCAGAACCCACTCGGAGGATGATATCCCCAAGATCGCAATGGCTGCTGTCAACAGCACCAAGATCCACCACTCACTGTTCCCCTCCTCCTTGGCAGTCTCCGATGCCTCGGCCCGGGTCACCATGCTTGCTACCACGATCATCAGCCCGAGAACCTTCAGAAATCTGGGGTCCGGCGTTCCCCCATTCAGCTCCATTCTCTTGACCTCAATGTTCTCCGCCTTCTCATCCATCGTCCTCAACCTCAGTGACCTCTTGAAGTTCAGGAGTGGTTGCCCGGTGAGCTGCTTCGTCATGCCGTCCGCCACCAGTTCTGTCCCAGCCACGTGGTCTAATGACACCTCCTTCAACCTCAGAGCTTCAGTCAATCCTGCCGCCCTGATCCTCAAATGTCTCGTTCTCCACGATGACGTCGTCCCAGTTGCAATGGCGATAGCTGCCGTCGAATCGGAGTGCAGTCGGACCTGGCCCGAGGATCGCCTCCATCAACGATCCCGCCGACCTGCCACGGATCAGGCTCTCCAGCAGCGACATTAGTTCGGCCTCCGCCGTCGACAAAGTGATGAATGCCTGTCGTGTGGTATGCCAGGTGATCGGCGTGCCTCCAACGCACACCACAACGCCAGTCAGGCTCTTCATGTCCGATGAGGCATACGATGCATCTGAATACACCTCCACCCGGTTCAAGCCATTCTCTTTCTCCTCTTCCTCATCACTGGTGCCGGAGATGTACAGCACCTCTCCCCTGGTCTGTCGAAGGTAGGCCCTCACCTGCTTCCCGATGGCCATCACCGCTCTCGGCCTCTTTGTGGCCCACTGACACATGATGCTCACTGCAAGGCAGACATCTGGTCTCGTCCTTCCAGCCACCCATAGGAGTTCACCAGTTTCCTTCTGCGCCTGGGTCACCTCAGTCAACTGCGGGTTCTCTTCCTCATCCGGAGTCTTGATCTGGCCCAAGGATGCCTTCCCCTGTTCGTCATACTCCATGAACAGGCTTTCCAAGTACGCCCGCTGGTGGATGGCGAAGTCCTGGCCCTTCCTCTCAATCTCCATTCCCAAGAAGCGCACCGGTTCTCGGCCTTCTCTTACCCACTCCGGTTCCCCAATCTTCCAGTGCATCTTGACCTGGTCGATGAACCCCTGGATGATCTCTTCTTCGCCCACCATCAGGACGTCATCCACGTACGTGGCCACTGCGCCCCTTGTGGTCCAAGCACCTCGATCATCCTGCTCCTGCACCAGCCAGATGTCCGCCTGAGGTGTTCCTTGTACCCTCACGGGTCGCCCTTCTCTCACCCACTGGAAATTTCTAATCTTTCCATCTCGGTGGTCACACCAATCCCGTGGAGAGGTCACGAACCCGTAAAGGGCTTTTCTGACAAGCCACAACTCCTTCTGATCTCGAAGCACTCCAGCCTCCTGGAAGATTCGTGGTGGTTGAACTACCACCACCCCACGGTCGTGAGCCGCAGGGGCGTTGAGGAACGCCGTCTTGACGTCAAGGGTGCTCAAAGCCCACTGGTTGATCGCTGCCAGCTTGATCAGCGTCCTCACCTTGATCCCACTGGCACCTGAAGCGAACGTAGATTCGGAGCTCTTGGCATTCATGAAGTTTCCACATGCCACCCCTCGACATTTGTGTCTTCCAGTGCCTGCCTTTCGGCTGAAGATGGCCTTAGCTGGCACAAGGTCAAAGTCTCTGCCCTGCGCCCTCGCCTCCTCCTTCAGTCGATCAGACTCCCCCTGGCTAATGGCCTCTACCGCCTCGGACTCATTGGTCAGTGCCGTGTACTCCTCGATCATGGATGGCTTCCACTCCTCCAGGTTCCTCCTCACCTCCGTCAGACCCACCATCCGCGTCTGTAGGAACTCTGAGGCTTCTTCTGACTTCTCCTCGATCTCGGCGACCATGTTCTTTTCCTCCTGTCGGCCTGCACGAACGGCTTCTTGGCTGATCTCCTCGATCTCCATCGTGAGAGCCTTCAGGAATCTCTCATTCCTGACTTCTCCGGAGTCCTCTTCCAGAAGTTGAAGCTCCTGGGATAGCATCCTTGCCCCCCGATGTTGCAGCTCCCCCCAATCTGCGGACTCCACCTCCGGTTCCAGCTGGAGGAGTTTAATCTTCCCTCGGGTTCTCCCCGGTCTCTTCCGTGGTTGCTCAACCTCCTCTCGGTCATCGACCTCGTGGATCATGCCCGCTTCGCGATCTGGCAGTGCCACCCCATCCGGCATGTCCTCCACCTGAATGATGTCGGCTGTGTGGAACAGCTTTCCAGTGGCGAGCTCCTCCACGAAGTATCCCGGCGACGTCATCGACATCGTGACAGCTGGGCAGAGCACCCTCACCTGTGTCCGGGTGGTAGACAGATACTTTTGGCGGTCGCTGTAGAGCTTTCTTTTGGCCCAAACCACTTGACCGAAGGTCGCCAGCTGCCGGCGCTTCCACCCCATTGACTCCAGTTGACTTCGGAGTCGAGTGTCAGCCCAGTGTCGAGTGGCATGACACCAGTAGCTCTCATCAAGATCTGCTGCCACTAGAAGGGTTCTGGCACCACGTTTGAGCTGTGCCACCGCTCCCTCCGCGCGGCCATTGCCCTTGAAGTTGTCGCCATCTGTAAAAGTGCGACACAGCCCTCTATCTCGGATCCACTTGTCGAACATCTTGCTTTGATACTCGCCCGCGCGGTCCGAGTGGAGCCGCTTGAGAGGGAGCCCCAAGAAGTTCAGCTTCGCCACCATCCGTCCCACCGCTTCCAGGACTGCCGATGCTCCTCGATTCTCCATGACCTCCGCCAACGTCACCTGCTGCCCCTGGAAGTCTCGTTCTTGTTCCACTAGCGATGCCCATTCCTTCTCATCATCCAAGCCAGGCCATCTGTTCTCCCCGGTCTTGGTCCCTCTGCTCCTCCTCGACCACGGTCAGTCCTGGTCCATCTCCTTCCGCTCCGGGCAACTCGTCTTCCTCATGGATCGGAATGATGGACTGTCCCCTCCTGGTCACTGGAGCCAGATAGACCCCCACCAGCACGAAGCGGCCCTTTCCAAGTTGATCGTCTGCCAGCATGAACGGCCCTGCAGTGTCAATCGACAGCGTGTACGCTTCGGCATGTGGGATCCTCTTGTGAGCCTTGCCGCGTGAGGCAGCGATGACGCAAGACTTGCATTCTCTGTTGTAGGGCAAATGCCCGTTCAGAAGGTGTCTCCTCCATGCTTCAAGGTCCATCCGTTTCACCTGGTGCACGGGTGAGTTCAACGCTTCTCGAATGGCGATTGCCAGTGCCTGCTTCAATCCGGGCGCCCACGCCGACCAGTCTCGGCTCTGCTTGATCCTCTCCGTCAGGTTCTCCGCTAAGGCAGCATCTCCTCCATTTCCATGTCCTCGGATGTCCTGCAGCTCGGCCAGCCTAGGGATGTTGGTTCCCAATCGCGTGGGCTTTCTTCTCGAGTGCCCCATGGGTCCTTGGTCGAAACTGACCTCCATCAGACCCCAGCGATCTCTGACTGCTCTCCATTCTGGCCAGCTCCAGTAGGACGGGTACCTGTGGGCTTCCTTCTCCTCTGCCTTGAGATACTCCTCCGGGTCCTCAGGCTGTTCCAGCGCTGCCAGGGTCACCTTCGGACCTCGAGCTAGCGCAGCTCGATGATGAAGATACAGTTGCCTCAGAAACAGGACTGTGTCATCTTCCACCTGCTTTCGTAGGTAGCGGTCCAGCTGAGGGAGACCAAATCGGTAGGGACCTTCTCGTTCCCTCAGTGGTGGAGGTCCCGGCTGCTTAAATCTCAGCCTGCTCATCGTCCGACATGGAGGTCCTCCCAACAGTGCACACACCGTCCCACCATCAGCCAAGTCGAGCAGGTAGGAGAAGATGTCGTCCCGCAGGAGGTTCATTCCCTGGTCAATGACAGTGTCAATGCAGAGGACCGCTCGACTTTCCGCCTCCAGCTCCTTCTGCCAAAATCTCTTTGAGTCTCCGCTGAAGAGGTGGATCACGACCTCCTTTGCCTTGCGGACTCGCCTTCTCTCATGCCTATTCCAAGGCAACCCCTCGCCGGTCCAGCTCTTCTTCGGGAGCAGCCTTTCGAGGAGGTGGTGTGGTACCTGCGGGAAGAGGTCCTTCAGCTCGGACAGATGCTTCGCCTCCTCGGGGTCCACTTCCAAGCCAATGTCCTCCCCTGCAAGATGCGCCAACCGGGCTCTCTCCCTCACCATACTTCGCTCGATCTCCTGGATCAACTCGTGGGCCAGTGCCTCATCGATCGTAGGGCACGAGTTCTCCACCTTCGTGTCCAACACCAGGCCAGTAGGGTCCGTGAGCTCAAATCTCGTCTTCTCCCAGACCGCCTCATAGCCCAAGGAAATGAGCACCCCCAGTGGGACGATGACTTGAACATCCTCCTTGGTCAGCAAGGTTCTCGTCCACGGAAGCAACCTCAGAACCGCCGTCCCTGCCGCCAGCTCCACATTGACCTCTTGGGCGCTCGCCCATTCCTCTTCTGATGAGGTCCTTCTCAAGCAGTGGGTGGCCCCTCCATCCAGAAGCGCTCTTCCCCCTTCTCGGACCTCGAGACTGCTCAGCCGGATGGCCTTCATCGATGAACTTGGCCTCAAACTCTTCAGCAACGTCGTGGCCTCATTCAGCAGGTCCTTCATCTCTCCAGAGGTTCCCGCTCCCTTGTCACCCTCGTTGGATCGGCTGTTCACCGGCTCACTCCCCCCAGACTTGGGTCCAGCATCCATAGCCTCCCCTTTTGCCTGGCTGGCAGTGACCTTCTCCTTGACGGATTTCACAGCCTGCTTCTCTGGCGACTCCTTCGGCCTTGGCTTCATGGTCGGGCAGTCCTTCTTCGAGTGACCATTTACCGAACATCCAAAGCATCTCCCCTTCTTTTCCAATCCACCCCAGTCGTGTTTGAAGCGGCAATCTTGACCTTTCCGGCACCCCTCATCAGTGCCCCAAAAACGACACGGCTTCTCATCGCTCCGCCCATCAGCTCTGGCCTTCCCGACCCCTTTCTCTGCCTTCTCCTCCGCCACGGCGGTCATTGCCTTGACCTTGGTGACCTTGATTTCCGGGGGTGGTTGAACATCGCTGATGGCCAGTGATTCCGCCTCAGCCGTCAACATGTCCGAGAAGCTGAGGACGGTCTCCAGAGTTGGAGTGACGTCGACTCCCAGTGTGGCCCTGGTTGATGACATCCTGAAGGCCACTTGGTTAGAGGTTTTCCCCACCAACTCCGACATCTTGTCCAATGCCCCAAGCAGTAGGGTCGCATCCGGGGTCGCAATCTCCAGCTCTTGAGCTCTCCTCAAGCTCCTCCTCCAGCCACGGAGCATCTCCACCACCTCATTCATTGTCTGTGGTGTCTTGGGCTCGACCAGCTGTCGGAGAAGTCGAGATCTCTCCGCCAACCCTCCAGGCTGGTACCTCCGAAAAAGAGCATAGAGAACGTCCACCGAATTGGAGGCCCTATTCGCCAGCATTTCGGATCGGATTGATGCCGGAACTGCATTCAGAAGCATGAGCTGTCCTCGTTGCTCCAACCTGCTCCACACGGTGTTGCACTCCCGGGGCACCTCCGCCTTGATGTGAAGCCGTTGAACTGGTTCTGCACGAAGCCACTCACGGTAGGCCATCATGGCCCCCTGCATCACCTCTTCCCACCACCTCCATGAAGTAGTGCTGAGGTCCCTCATCGTCGGGGAAATGAGCTGGATCCAATCTCCCAGGACCAGTGATCCCAACTCACCTTCTCGCAGTTCCTGGAGCGGTGGCAGCTCAACTGACCTGATCACTTCGCCCCAGCCTCCGTCCGAGGTTCCAGTGCCCAGCTGCCTCCCATAAGAATCCTTTAAGATAAAATCACTTGAAAATGATAAAACAAAATGGGTTTATTATTTTTAGAAAATTTTATTGTTTTTATAAAATTTATGTTTTTGATAAACAAAATTTACCATCAAATAATAAAACGTTTGTTTCCAAAATTACAAAATTCCATTTCCCAAAAAATAAAACAAAATTTATTATTGGAAACAAACGAATCTTGAGAGTGTATATAAGTTGTTGTTGTTGGTGGTGGTGGTGGTGCAGGTCGTGGTGGTGGTGGTGTTGGATAGTTACTGAGTGTTCTGAGAGTTACTGAGAGTGGTGAAGGTGGTGGTGGTGGTGGTGGTGCAGGTGGTGGTGGTGTTGGAGGGTTCTGAGTGTTCTGAGAGTTACTCGAGTGGTTCAGGGTTCAATGATGCATGTGTACAGGTGCCTTATTGTGATCTGTGGCGCTGCCAATCCAATATTGAATGCAGCCAATCCAGTTTGAGTGTTTTCCTTCAGCTGAACACAATCGAACGATACCAAAGCTGCAGGGGAAGCAAAAGGGACCAACTTCATGGAATGGACGCTGTGTTTCCGGGCACTGTGGTGTGGTGAAATGAGTGATGGCGTACGACAGCTGTCTGTTCTGTAGCTGTGCCAATCTGTTTGTAGTTTGTAAACTGAACAGAACAGCATCGCAGAATGTTGCGCAAAAGAACGTGCAGGGTTCATTTGCACATATGATTTTTCGCTTTGCTTTGAAAGAATTTTGAGAGCTTTGCTTTGAGAGTTTTGAGAGCTTTGCTTTGAGAGAGTTTTGAGAGCTTTGCTTTGAGAGAGTTTTGAGGGAATTTGTTTGGAGAGTTTGGAGAGCTTCCACAGAGTCGGCAGGCTTGATGTTCAGTAGGTTTGATTGACCCGCGCGCAGCAACTAGGGCTTCAAACTTGCAATTTTCTTCGTCGCAGTATCTGGGCCACAAGTGCCCAACTTCCCAACAGTGGTTGATTGAAAGCGTTTTCGAGGTTTAGAGATACCAAAGCACTACATAATCCAAAGATTTCAAGAACTAACCAGAAACCCTTGAACGCGTCGAGCACCACCTTTTGATTTAGAGAGACGCGAAGAAAACGTCTCCGTATTCCATGGCTTTGAAAACCAAGCGCTCACGGTTGTCAGCTGATGGGAATGTTTCCATGGTCAACCTTCAAGAAACATTAGAAAAGGGCATGGCAGAGACAGGAAGGAACCTACACCACATGGTTCAGCTGGCCAGAGAAGGGCAATGCAACTGGACCAGCACGCCGAAGACCGCGTTGGGAATACTTTCCAAGTACACTGTTGCGTTCCAGGAATTGCTGATCCTGTGCCCTAACACTGCGGTAAACAAGACCAAGATTGCGCAGGCAATCTATCAGTGCCATATAGATGGCGGTGAGGTGAGCAAGTTAGCCACCTTCAGCAAGGATGATGCTGACAAGGTTGGCGAGGTGATTCGGATTACCCTGATCAAACTTCGCAAATGCAGCGCTGATGAGAAACAGCAACTAACTAAGATCGAGTGTTCTTCAGAGGTTTGAGATGTTTACATGTGCCTGAGAGTTTTGACATCGAGTTACGAGGGTTTTGACACCGAGTTTCTTGAGAGTATATTTTTTGGTTGTTTTGAGAGTCTTCGAGGTCTCTTTGCGAGGAGAATTTGGAAACTAGGGTTCCAACGTACTTGCAGCATGGCCACCCAGCACGAAATCCAGATGCTCAGATCTTTGCTGGGAAGTGTTCATTACAATGACAGCCAGGCCTATCCTTTGCATGTGACCCCCACCTGCGCTCCTTAGTTCTGTGCCCTGTATGCACCATGAATAGCGTGCCATTTTGGCATGGAGGAGGATGTTTGGAAGTCGCCTAATGATGATCTTCCCGACTTCAGCGCACTCGCCACATCCACTGCCTTTTGATTGATATTATCGGCGCAGAAGTTCTGAGGGTTTTTGAAATGAAAGTTTGAGGGTGCTGCAAAACGTGAGGCAAGAAGTTCCAAAGATCCTGGAGTGTTACCTCTTGCGGTTGCTTTGTTGCATAATGTTGAGTTATTGTGACCCGAGATCTCGTAGATGAGTTATTGCAACCCGAGATTTTTGAGTTATTGTGACCCAATTTGTCACCAAGCCAGGAACCTGATGAGTCGGGGTTGAGGAAGGAAGGAGAATCCATACCCGCAGAAGATCAGACACTGTTGGACGAGGTGCTTAAGTATTGAAAGTTTGAGGGTTCCGAGTGGAGAGTTTTGCAAGTTTTGAGAGTTTGAGAGTCTTGAGATTGAGAGTTATTTGAGGGGCTGAGCTGGCTCATGAAAAGGATGAGGAAGTGCGAAGGTAAGTGGACCTTAAGGTTCAGTCAACTTCAGTTCTGAGAGGTACTTGGCAAGAAGAAAGAAGATAATGTTGTCGTGGAGGCAGCCGAATACGTACGTACGCTTATATAGGTTAGTACGTATGCTTATATAGGTTAAACACCAACATTCTTGCAAGCGCAAGCTTTAAGGTATCCAGCAGCAGCCAAGAACAGGACGAGGAGGCATCTCCGTGCAAACGCCCGGCAGCTCGCACCGGCACCAAACGCCCGGCAGCTCGCACCAGCACCGACCCGGACAAGGAACTTCCGCGTAAACGCCCGGCAGCTGCTCGCAAGAGAGCAAAGAATCCTCAGAAGAATTGGAAGAAGATGTTTTATAATCTTACGGGGAAATCTTCTGGATTCTCTGTCTTTGGCTCATCTGTCTCTTGCTCCTTTTGATTCTCGTCCTCTTTCTCATCTTCCTCTGCCTCTAGCAGTGTATCGGCGTTCTCTGGATCTTTGACCTCTGTCTGTGGCCCTTGCTTTTCAGAGGTACCAGCATCGTCGAGCGCAGACATCAAGCGCCAACAGTCTATTGCCCAGAAAGGGCCAACAACTTTGGTTTGAAACAGGATGCTAGCAATGCTTTCAAGGTAGTATTTCGACACGATTCCCGAGTTCCACTCATATATCAAATATGGAAAAACTCTCAAAACTCTCAAGACTCTCAAAGAACTTTCAATACTGTCAAGACTCTGGAGAAATATCAGAAACTGTCGAGACAACCCTTTCAAACCCATCACGACTCTTGTCTTTCTTCGATCCTGCTCTTGTCTTTCGTTTTGTCAAATTCTTTGGTCTGCTTTGGTCTGAGGGTTTATATTCATTCTTTATGAAACAAAACACTGCCCGTGTTTAAAAGAGTTTAGGCTTTAAGGTGGGTTTCTCTCTTTTTTTGGTCTCTTAAATTCTTTGTGTAATTATTTATGTAACTGAATGCTCCCCTTTTTAGCTTAGGGCTTAGGGCGGGTTCCTTGAGTTTAGGGTTTAGGGTGGGTTCCTCTTCAACTCTTTATGTAACTAAACGCCGCCAATTTTGTTATCTAAAGTTTAGGGTTTAGGGGGGTTCCTCTTAGTTTATTTTTGTAATTCTTTATGTAACTAAACGCTGTCCGTTATCTAAAGTTTTGGGTTCAGGGTGGGTTCCTTGAGTTTAGGGTTTAGGGTGGGTTCCTCTTCAACTCTTTATGTAACTATATAAATGCTGCTCATTTTTTATCTAAAGTTTAGGGTTTAGGGTGGGTTCCTCTTCAACTCTTTATGTAACTAAATGCTGCCCATTTTGTTATCTAAAGTTTAGGGTTTAGGGTGAGTTCATCTTAATCTTTTTATGTAATTCTTTATATAACTAAACGCTGCCCGTTGTTATCTAAAGTTTAGGGTTTAGGGTGGGTTCCTTGAGTTTAGGGTTTAGGGTGGGTTCCTATTCAACTCTTTATGTAACTAAATGCTGCCCGTTTTGTTATTTAAAGTTTGTTCCTCTTAGTTTATTTCTGCAATTCTTTTTGTAACTAAGCGCTGCCAGTTTTTATCTAAAAGTTTGGGGTTTAGGGTGGGTCCCTTGAGTTTAGGGTTTAGGGTGGGTTCCTCTTTAATTTCTTTGTGTAGTTCTTTATTGAACTAAACGCTGCACATTCTTATTTAAAGTTCAATGCTAAACCAGTGTGAAGAAAAAAGTTTCATGTCAAAACTTCAATGTCAAAAGTTCAATGCATTGAAGTTTCATAACAAAACTTCAATGTGAAAAGTTCAATGCATTGAAGTTTCATAGCAAAACTTCAATGTAAAAGTTCAATGCATTGAAGTTTCATATCAAAACTTCAATGTAAAAGTTCAATGCATTGAACTTTTGATACGAAACTTCAACGCATTGAACTTTTACATTGAAGTTTTGATATGAAACTTCAATGCATTGAACTTTTACATTGAAGTTTTGCTATGAAACTTCAATGCATTGAACTTTTCACTTTGAAGTTTTGTTATGAAAGTTCAATGTATTGAACTTTTCACATTGAAGTTTTGCTCGGATAGTTCCTCTCAAAACTCTTAGAAACCTCCAGTCTCAACCCCTAACACTCTAATCTCAACACTCAAAACTCTCAGACCTTCAAACGAAAAAGGCTCTCCAAACTCTCAACCTCCAAGCAAGACAAGAGCAGATCCGTGGCAATTGTTTCGTGGCGGTCCTTGCTTTGCACAAACGCGCCTTGCAGTGAAACACGAAGCCTCTAGTGTTTTTTCTTTCTAACTAATCTAATTGTGTGACAGTTGTGAAACTGGAGGCTGTTGACAGCAAGTTTGAGAACTTCGTTGTCAGCTTGATATGGAGCCATATGGTGGCAAAGCAGCAAACCGTCAAAGAGTATTGGAAAGCGCTCGCCTGGTCTCTGGAAAGCTTGTGGCAAGGCAATTGGCAGAACAGATATATAATATTGACAGGGTTGAGCCTGCTCACATTTTTGAAAGTTTGAGGAACTCCTTTTGTCAGTGTGAGGGCTTTGAGAGTTTGAGAGGGGCGTTTTGAGAGCTTGGAGAGTTACAGTGAGAGTTTTAAGAGTTTTGAGAGTTTGAGAGGGAAGTTTTGAGAGCTTGGAGAGTTACAGTGTTTGAGCCTGCGCGGACTTGAAACTTTTTCAGAGACTTCTGTTGTCAGTGCGAGGGCTTTGAGAGTTTAAAGAGTTTTGAGAGTTTGAGACTCTGAGCAAAGTGCTTGGAGCACAATTGTGGTGGACGTTGGGCCACATCCTGGATATTTGGAGGCACCTGGTCATAACCGGGCCTGGGACTTCTGAGGCCCATGTGTTCATCCAATGTCAGTTTGTCTAGTTAGAGCGTGATTAGAATAGCATTTAAAGAACATCGCTTCGCGACAAGAGAGAGTGTTTTACAAACTACTTCAGAATGCGAATAGAAGTCAACCTTCTTACGACACTTGGGAGAACACCCCATGAGAAAGCGAGAGGAAACTTCCACAACTAGGGTTTAAGACCAGGCAAGTTACAAAAGACGCCAAGGCGAAGGAATTGAATACAAGGAGCTTGAGTCATCTCAGCAGCTTTGGGCCACATAAGTTTGTCAAGTTAGAGTGCGATCAAGGGTGAGAAACTACAGTGGCAACGCAAGGAAACGTGTTCAAAGTTTATCCAGAAGACTTCTTCGTACAGCTGCCCTCCTTTGCGCAAGTCTCTCGTGCAAAAAATGAGTCTATACATTTTTCCTCAACATTTGTATAATAAGTAAGTTCATCATTCCAAACACCTTGTTGCAAAGGTCTCGTCCATTGAAAGGAGTCATTTTCTTTCAAAAGGATGTTTGTGTAAAGGCGAAGTGCGTTTGTTTTTGTTTGGTTCTGAACCAATTGTTTAAAATGCACCTTGCTTGGTTTGCAATACCAGTCCTCGCAATACAGTTGGAATAGTATATACATTGATTGAAGATTAAATAATATATAATCAACCTAGGTAAGAATTTTGGCAACCTACTGGAGCAATAGAACAACGCCTGCAAGACTGGGGCAATCTTGTTAAGGAGACAGCAAAGAGATAAAAGCAAGAGAGGACAATCAATGTACCGGGAAAAACAGAAAGCAAGAGAGGACAATCAATGTACCGGGAAAAGCAGAGCGACGAACCAACGATGCAAATGACCAAGCAAGCCAAGAAGGGAAAAAACAACTACTTCAGACTGATTAAGTACAGGAAAGTGGGATCGATGAAAAGGATGTTGACTATTTGGAGCCGGGTGAGAAGTGGATATTGGGCTGCAGAATATGTTCAACAAATGTGAGATGAAATGGTTCAAGCGATCGTGGCATCAAGGTGGCCTTGTGGTTTTGACAAAGTGTCCAGGCCAGTGTGAAGAGTTGTGATTGTTCTTAACGTTTTGTAGGCACCCAAATGTAGGACTCCAATCAAAAACAGGTGTTTGTCGCAAGATAGGATTTAAATAAGGAAAACTGATCTGAAGTTCATTGACCTTCAGTTGGAGCAAGGGTGTTTGAGGTTTAGGCTTTGCAGGGTGAACGCCTCGAAAGCTACACGTTCATATGGAAATGCAGCAAAACGAGCAGCATAGACATATTTATTCACAGGTTTTGAGAAGCTACCCGCGCAAAGAATAGATTGATTAGCAAGAGAAGGAGTGAGAAGTAAAACCATGTGAATCAGGCCAATTGTAGGAATCTGCCCGTGACGATTCCCTCTCTCCATTTCATTTGATGCGTTCATCCTTTTTGCGCCGACTTTTTGACTTGCAGATTGCCTTCGCAGCTCAATCAGCAGCATAGCCTTTTACCCCAGCCTTTTGCATCAAGAATTGCCTATATTTGCTTCGTTTTGTTTTGGATCAAACACTCTTCGGGTGAAGGGAGTTCAAAAGGATTCTGAGGATCTTTGAGGTGAATAGAGCTTCTCAGTTCAACCCTTTTGGGATGCAGAACGGTTTCAAACAAATCCGGGGCGACACGACGACATGGACTTGAAGGTTCAAAGGAACTTGGCGAGAAGATACGTCAGAGTTTGGAAAAATGACAGTTGTGAATGACAAGTTGTCAAAAATAACAGGTTGGTCGCGGCACACCCTCCGGGCAACGAGAAAACACAATGGCGCTGGTGAGGTTGTTTGATGCAAACCTGGGCCTCAGAAGTCCGAGGCGGGTTATGAGATGGATTTTGGAAGGGTGACAGTGGTGGGTGGCAGGCAAAATGCAGTTGTTTTATGGCAAAACTGTTGGACAACAACCTTGGGCTTAAACGCCCGAGTCAGGGTTATCTAGATGCCAGACAGCCAATTGGCAGATCTAGATGCCAAACAGCCGCGAAGCAGAGTCTTCCTTCCAAATAGAGTTTGCAGGTGACCTTCCAGCAAAAGCGTCAGGAGGGCACCTGTAGACATGTATGACCGCGATCGAATCAGAATACCGAGCCGCTGGTCAATCATCGACAAGATCGGTTGACGCATATGGTGGGTGGAAAAACTGTGTATTTTTATGCGTGCCAAATGGGCTCATGGGGACGGTCCATGGTGTGGTGAGGATCGAAGCATATACGTTGTTATAGGTTAGTTGAGAGTTCCGAGTGTTTTCTTAATGCCGCAGCCATTTATGGTCATATGGTCTGGAGCAAGTGTTGGAGGAGGTGCCCACTGACTTTCGCTTAGGAGTTTTTTGAGTTTCTGGTTTTTGAGCTTTCGGGGTTTAAATTTTGAGGAAATTTCAACGAACCCCTACTAGCAAGGTTGTCAATAGGAAGACGTTGTTCGATTTGCTTGGAGAGTTAAGTCTGAGTGTTTTGAGAGACTGAACCTTCGTTTGACAGGGTGAATCCTCATCCTTTTCAGGAGCCAGTCAGCCCCTCAAATAATTACTCTCAATCCCAAAACTAAAACTCTCCATTCAGAACCCTCAAACTTTCAATCCCAAAAAATTCCAGAACCAGAAACTCTCCAAACCCTCGAAACCCTCAAACTTTCAACGCAGACATTTCAAGAAACCCGAAGCAGGTGCATCACCTCCTGCTGT